GGGAAAATGCCGCCAGAATCATAGCTTTTGAAACAGGAAAAACGCTGTAAATATTGTTTTTGCATAGAACTAGTATATATATATATATATATATATATATATATATATATATATATATATATATATATATATATATATATATATATTTGTATATATATATATATATGTATATATTTATATTTATATATATATATATATATAATGCTGGAAAATAATTGACCACCCCCCATGAGACGATCCTGGCTACGCCACTTAACCCCTCCCTTATTCCAAATTTTAATTGCGCTTAGTAATCAACCACGAGCAATTAAGTGAAACACAACTTCCACTGTTTGCTGGTGAGTCAACATCGATCTGATTTATTTCATGGATCGATACCGCCCTGAAGAGCAAATAAGGCACCCGAAATACAAGTCAACTTAATTTTTTGGATTTTCCATGTTCAATTATAACACAGATTTCATTTTGGAGCAGTAGTTAAATCTAGACCGAATGAAATGTTATTGTGATTTTAAATTTTATCAAGGGTATATCATTGATTTTATTGTGTAGTAGTAGTCAGATAACACTTAGTTTTGTGGTTATAATTTTAAAGTGGATTCTGATACTGTTATATTATATTCATAGAACATAAGTATTATTTCCAATCAAACATACAATTTAATCCAGCGTAATATAAAAAATTAGGGGCCTATATATATATATATATATATATATATATATATATATATATATATATATATATATATATATATATATATATATATATATATATATATATATATATATATACCTATATACCTTACTATATGTGTATACCTTACTTAGTAAGATATATACATACATATATATATATATATATACATATATATATATATATATATATACATATATATATATATATATATATATATATATATATATATATATATATATATATATATATATATATATGTATGTATATATATATATATATATGTGTGTGTGTGTGTAGTGTGTGATTGTGTAAGCCATTGTTTCAGCAGGTTTTCAACCCACACCATCACCATGATGCCTGTAGCACTTACCTTGATATTTTTGGCCTTCTTGCTACCTGTGCGTGGGACCTTGGACGAGCCTATGGATGCGTGGCGTGAGGCTAAGGCCAAGTTGAAAAGCAACATTTTAAACCACAGGGCTGTGCAAACAAATCTCTGTCCATCTAACACAAAGCTAAACTTGAAGATCAAAGCGTACACATACGCTGTAAGTCGCGTATTTGATTCCTAATTTTTAAAAAAAATGTTTTTACGATTAAAGTGTTATTGAAAAAAACGCCTAAATTTGAATCATGTATTGATTTTTTATGAATATTTTTGCTCTACCTTAAACATTTTTAGATTAGGGTATTTGGAGGCTAGGTTAGAATAGTCCCTAACAGTGGTACTTAATCTTTCTGGAGGTACCGTACCCCGCCATTCACCGAACCCTTCTTAATAGTTATATCGTACGCACTGACAAAATCCGATGGTGAATCATGAGTTGGGTGGGTGTTTTACCTCCGCCGCTCCGCCGTACCCCTGACACTGACTCACCTAACCCGTGGGGTTCGATCGAACCCAGGCTAAGAATCTCTGATCTAGATCTAGAGTTCCTGTGTGAGTTGAGTGACCCCTGGGTGTCTATGTATCTCAAGGTCGAATGCGGGTAATGTTTCATGCAGATTTTTTTTCTCCAAGGGTGTGGGGTGGGGGCACTTGAAACTTTCCTGGGTGCAGAACTAAATTTTCCGGGGAGGGGGGGGGGGGCGGACACTGGTATAAAAGCGGAAGTGAACGATAGTTAAGAGGCTTTTTGTAGCGACTAGAAATACTAGAATAGGGTGACTTGTGGATAAAGATGAACTGAAAAAAAACTACTGGAACTGTGTAGCCTTTGTTGAGTTAAATTGAAGTAGTTCGCATTAAGGCCTACATTCGGGTTGCACGTTTTACCTTCTAGCTCATGAGGCTTAAATTGTGTAAATCGACTTGTAGTTTAAATAAAATAGATGTATGAATTTATGCTACTAAAACTTAAAACTAAAATAAAAAACCGAATCCTTGTTAATTTTACCAAGTTTAAATTTTTTCAACATAAAAGTTAAAACTTAATTTAAATATAATTTCATTTTTATTGTGTTTTTTTTCCAATGTAAAATAATTTATAATTCAAGGACGGTTCATATTTATCATCTTTTCTCCAAGGTTTTATTTGGTAATGAAGTCGAGCAGTCATTTACAACAGTCAACTATATCTGCGTCAGCTGGAATGATACCAACCTCTCATGGAAGCTGTCTGATTACGAAAATATAAGTACGGTGAATCTTAAATACGAAGAGTAAGTGATAGTGAATAATGACAATATAAATAAACTGGGAGTGATCTCCCCTAAACTTTCTCGAATATTCTTATATAACACTACGGGGGATTGCAACTCGGGATAAAGAAATGATTCTTAATTAATTTTCACACCAAGTAAACGCAAAACAAAATAAGTATAATAGTGCGGAAAATTATTAGTACTTAATAATTTCCCATGCGTTATTTTGAGAAATCGGAAATAGCAAAAATTACTTCTTTCGTTCAACGGAAATTACTCAAAATTAGACAGAAGGCAGATAATTGAATCTTTTACTAATGTGTGAAATTTCATTAATCTATCTAAAATAGTACTCAAGCTATAGGCTTTTGAAAAATTCAAAGTAGAAAAAGTTCCACTTTGGGTTATCGGAAATTGCTGAAAAGTTGATACAGAACTACAAATTTGATATAATACTTATATACGAAATTGCATCAACCTATTTGTAACGGTACTCAAGTTATCGTGTTTACAGAAACACATACACACACACACACATACACACAGACACAAGATTGCAAAACTATATTTTTTAGACACAGGGAGGTGTAAAACGATGAGATTTGCAAAATATTTGCACGATTACAAGACTTTCTGTATACTTCGTATATAAGAGAAAGTAAAAATGTGATTTAATATGGGTATTATTGAAACAAAGGCACATTGAATATACATTTTAAGGGATATTCGATGGCGGAGAATACATAACGTAATAAAGCTCCTATACACCTAGAAATAATTCATACAGATACTATTGATTAAAGAAGTTCGTCCACGTAAACTTTCATTAATTTGTATAGAAAGAGAACAAAAGAGTCGCATGAATTTAAAAATCTCTAACTTATTTCGTAGCCTGCGAGATCCAAGTTTTATAGTGACCATTTTGGCAGACTAAAATATTTTAAGGTATAAAAAAAATCGCTTCGTTTTTCAAATGTCTAATTTGTTCCCTAGCCTGTGGCATCCAAGTTTTATAGTGACCAACTCGGCTGACGAAGATATTCTGATGTTTAAACCAATCCACGATCAGCTGTCGTTGTTTTACACCGGTGAAGTCTTGCTGCACTCTCCAGCTTTGTTAAAAACTACCTGTTCGATGGACCTGAAGTACTACCCTTTTGATGAGCAGGTCAGTACTCACATGTAAATGCATGATCCTATTTATCTGTTGCGGACCTTTGATATTTGATCTGGCATTAGCCTAAAGGTTTGGCACTGATCACTTCCTTACAGTAAAACATCTTCGAAGTGCTAACCGAAAACATAGCTTTAATGCTAGCGTTAAAAATAGTACAACGCGTAAACCTAAAGTAAATATCCCCTATCCCCTTCAAGACTTGCTGGTCAATAAGCAAGGTGAAGTAAAGTGTACCTGTTTCTATGACCTGGGTCTATGAATGGCCAGCTGCCCCTGCTTTCTTTCTCAAACGTGAGTCAGGTACCCATCAGAGCTGAATAAGCTCAATGACTTCCTATAAACTATAGCCCCTACTAACTAACATTAAACTTAAAAACTCAGTAATAAAACACTTTCATCATTTTCTAATTTCGCACTGATAAAATTTGTTGATCTTTTTCATCTAAAGACGTGTGACATCACTCTTGTGCCTTTCTTTGACGAGTGCCAGTACAACATAATCGAGGCTAGCATAGAAGAAATGCCGGATCCGTTTGATTTGGTGGGGGAGTGGGAGATCCAGTCAAGGGATATCGTTACAGGGTACTATATGAACAACAACGACACGCAAATTTTGTCCATCAAGTAAGCATTCAAACATCAGTACTATTAGGATGGGACGGTGTGGCCTAGCGGTAGAGCGTTAGACCGCTAACCCGAACGTCCAGTGTTCGAATATTGGTTCCTGTTATAAAACGTCCTTAAATCCACCCATGTGTGATGGGTACTGAACTTACGTTAAGGAAAGTAAAGTCGGCTGGACATAGTGCTGACCACAATCTCTTCGAATGCCGAGTTCACAGAAATAGGTGAACTCTACTTCACTTGCCCTATAGAGTATAGACCATCAGGTTCGAAAAGGGAACTGTACTTTTACTTTTACAACTAGAACAGTGGTTCCCAACCTTTTTCGAGTGGCGACCCCCTTTTATAAAAAGTAAGTGACCCGCGACCCCCATAAAATTAAAAAGCCGAATTTAGTATGGGAATTAATAAGCACTAAAATAAGATTTTCTAGAAGACTTTCAATATGAACTACTTTTGATAACTGTTTTAATACGATGAGTAAAATTGCATGCTATTTACTAAACATTCGCGGTTAAGTTATTGTTAACGCCAACCTATGTCATTATCAACATTCAATTTATTTCTTAATTTTGTTTTTAATCGGAGAATAGTGTTGAAAGGCTATTCTCGAAAAGTCGATCAATTTTACGTTTGGGTATGAATGGTGAATAATACACCAAAATTGTGTGAGCAGTTTTTCATCTTAGGCGGAATCACTCTGCAAATCAAATAATTAATCTTGTAATTCATCGGGAATGCTGGCAACATCAAGGGAAGTGGAGAATGGGTAATGCGTAAATGCAGATTCTTCTTCTTTCAGCTCAGAGAAATAGCGCCGCAGTTCGTTTTCAAGAGATTCAAGATGCCCAGAAATCGCTTCTTTCAAAATTGTAATTATCTCACAATCAGGTTCATCTACCACACTGCAGAGTTTCTCAAATGTACAACATTTCCAAGATGTATTTATTTTCTTCGCCAATTTTGCAGCTTTGATAAAAATGCCCCGAGATTATTATGGAAAGTAGTAATCCTCGTTCATTTTCCCTCAAGCGTCAGGTTAAGCTTACGTTGATGTTCGAATATATCTGCTCTCTCAACCACTCTATGTCGTTTTAAGTATACCAAAAGGTCTTGTTTCCTTTGCACTTCCAAGAAAAATTTGATTTCAGATTTCAATTCAAAAACACGATTCACAACAATTCGTTTGACAGCCAGCGTACTGTAGTGTAGAAAAGCAGAACCTCGTGATCTATATTAATGTCTTTGGTCCAGATTAAATATACAGTACGACTGTTACTAGCAATGGAGTCTTGATGACGAGGGCGTAGGCTACTGGTAAATCACGCAGTCGTTAGGGAGCTAAATCTTTTCTGTTTTCTGAATGCCCGATTTTGACCTAAACCTGGATAGCGCACCATCCGTACAAACCCCCACAGCCGTTTTAACCAACTTTAATCTTCCAGTTTAAAAAAAATGTATTTATTTTCTCCATGCTATTTCACAAAATAGCAACTCTTCTTTGCTATCATCTGATTGAATATAGACAAAGACCAGCAACTGCGAACACGAACTCACGTCTGTTGATTTATTAACTTGAAAAGCAAACAATGGCGAACGCTTGATTTCATTAAAAATTTGTTATTTAGTATCTACGGACACGTCGGCTATAAGCCGCTGAGTAGTATTATTAGGCAGAGATATTTGTTGCATCTTTACTGCACTGGAATTCCCAAGAATTAACTTCACCATCTTCAACATGCAGCGTTTGATGAGATTTTCTTCTATTGTGTGTTTTTAGCGCAATTTCCATTCTGGAGAATTGCGTTTATTAACCCTTCATTTCTGGATGGATGGATGGATGGATGTGTGTTCGCAGCTTTAAATCGTATCTCCTCCTCAACGAAGCAATATCGAGGACTAGTTCCAAAAGCAATTATGTTAAACAAGTTACGAGGATGATAGTGGGCCAAAAAATTCCCAGAATTCCTTCCTGGATTTCCCAGAAAAGCCAAAAAACCTCGAAAAAATGCAGTTTTTGGCCCATATCTCGGCAACCAGACCACTTAGCGACTTGAAACATTTACCAATCGATTCCTGCCATAATTTAGAACAATATTTCCGAAGAAAGTTTTCAAAAATATCTTTTCGTTCGGTCACAACAAAATTTTTGAATTAATTAAAATTTAGACCGAATTAGTAGGCATATTTATCCAACCACACCACACGCGTCATCACGTTCAATAGCTGCACCATCACGTTCAATGGCTGCGCCATCACGTTCGGTAGCTACGCGCGCAATGGTTTTTAGTCATGTAACTCTATTGTAAATAAAACATGTAAAATACTGAAAAAAAATTTAATAAAAAACGTTTTAATAACTAACCAATGGTTTTACTAACCTTGCTCTTGATTTACGCTACGACAGAGCTATTTTTAGATAACATAAGGAAATTGCGCTAAAATTGTCACTAGGCTTTTTAATTACCTTGTTTTTTTTTTTGCTTGGCATTTTCTATCGCGACTTCATTTGATGCTTGCGCTAATGCTGTATTTCCTTGGTGAAAACTTCCTGTTCGATCAGGTCTCTGACGTACGTTTGCAACTAGCTTTATGCCGACGAAAGAACACGATATCTTTTTTGGTGTGTTCCGAATGACTCGTCTCAAATGACGTTTTAGTTTTGAAGATTTTATAAACTCGTGACAGAGAACAACTTTGCACAGTGGGCCTACGCTTTGCTTCTTCTCTATTTGAATTCCAGTTATGTTAGTAAAGCCGAACTTCAGATATTCTTCTAAATATTTATTTTTTGTTTCTCATTACTTAGGTTTAGTATACCAGTTGGCGACCCCCCAGAAAGCCCTTGGCGACCCCCAGGGGATCGCGACCCCCAGGTTGGGAACCCGTGAACTAGAATCTAATTAATTTTTTATTCAATACGCTCTTGCATATTTCAATTAGGTAAACATTAGAAATCACTATCATCTCTTAAGTTGTTTTTTGTTGGTGTCGTGACAGAACTATAGGATGCTGGGAAGGGTCAGAGTTTTATGATGATCCGCACAGTGAAAGAAAGGGACGGCAAACTATTGAGGCCTAGCATATTTTTGTTGTTGTTAATTTAAAAGAAAACAACGTTAAAGAAAGATGGTTTTTGTTAGAGTTATAATTCGATTTGCAGAGGTGTACCTGTTTTTGTGTGTGTTTTTTTGTGTGCTGAGGTACGATGTTAAGGTTCAGGTTCATGTTGAGGTTAAATACATTTTGAAAGTTTTTCTGAAAACAGTGGTGAAATACTCGGTTTTCGTTAGAATGTTAACTTTTTTAAAGGTGATGTATATTGTTTTGAGATATATACAATAGGCCGGCAGAGGTTTGAGTTTTAGACTCAGGTTTAAGTTAAGGTGCAGGTTCATGTTCATGTTAAGGTTCATGTTAAGGTTAAGGTTCAGATTCATGTTGAGTTTTTTTGTTGAAAATTTTAAGGAATCCAATAATAAAACATATGATCGTTTTCGTTTGAATTATAAAAGTTTTAGCTAAGTTGTCTAAGTGTTTTAATATGCATGGCAATAGGCCGAGGGAGGGTAAAACATCTGAAGTTATGGACAAGCCTTATATGTCAACAAAAGTTTTGAATTCGCCGATAAAGTTTCACTTTAAATAAATATTTGTATTTAAATAATCTAAAAGTTTTTAATAATGTTAAAATACTTTGCACTTGCAAACACTTTAATATCTTTTACTTTTAATGTAATCTATCCTGATATATAACAGCCATGTGCGCACTTCTCTCTCTCTCTCTCTCTGTCCGCAAAATATTTTCACAGGGTATCATATCAGTATCTTCAGCGATATATGGAGAACTTGATACGGACTTTTGTTGAAGATAATATGGTAGAGGTTTTAAATGTATAATCTAAATTTTATTTAATGAATAAAAATAAAAAATAAAGGCATAATCGAATGTAGAAAAACAATTTTAATTATGCAACCAGGAAAGTGTTTATAGTTGTGACAAGTACGCGATTAACAATGACGTCAGTAATGCTTACACTAAGGAAAGAACACAAAACTAATAGCGTAATCTTCCCATTATCTATATACTACTAAAAGTCAAGTTTGTTTACATGTTTGAATATTTATTTTTTTGTTTTTTTGTTTGTTTGTTTGTTTGCCTGATTGACTATCTCGCATGGTTGCACTCATCGTGGAAAGCTGTAAAATAGTATGTAGGTAGAGAAAATTTTTTGTTTTAAGACAGACTGTTAATCACACATTTATTTAAAGACGTTAATTAATTTATTGATTTATTCATTGTTAAATTAACCGTATTTTTTTAAAAATGTTAATACTTTGAATAAACTTTGTGGGGATAGTGACGTCCCTTGATAGTGACGTCAGAGTTTTTTGTTGACTCTTTAGTACAATAAAATGGCGGCGTCTATCGAAGAAAATTGTGTTCCCATTCCAAAGTTTAACGCGTTCTAAATCTAATTTTCTGTCGGTCATAACTTTAACAATACGTCCGTTTGCTGTATTTATTACGTTCCAACACTTATATCAATTTTCAACTGTCTTTTTTCATTTAGTTTTACAATAAATTTCTCTAGATCTAAAGATCAGCTGTCGAAGGAAATTTATGAATCTAGCCTAGATCTAGATCTAGGTCACTAAACTCAATGTAAATTCTAAATCTAGACTTAATGTAAATTCTACATCTAGAATCTATTTCAGGCCTTAATACATCTAGAATCTATTTCAGGCCTTAATTATTTTATATAAATCTTTGTTTGGCTAATTTAAGATAAAATTTAATTTGAAAGTTACTACTTCTAGACTAGACGCTCGAAATCAAGTTGCATCAAAGTATAGTATAAAAATTCATTTCTGACGTCACGAGTAAATAGCTAAGTTTGTAGCGTAGTCCGCTCTCATGCGAGTGGTACAGGTTCTAGACCAATATGTCAATGATATTTTTTTTCAATTTTTTTTTTTAGATGTTAATGATAAAAAATGATATTTTTTTTCAATTTTTTTTTTTTAGATGTTAATGATAAAGTTGCCTATCTGAACTTGGCAGGATACAGGGCAGGTGAAGTAGAGTTCATCTTTTTTTTTGTCCTAACCATATGAAAGGATAGTGTGGTCAGAGACATGCTCGGCTGGAATCGTTTTTTAAACGATAAAAACATGTTGTCTGAGACTTGGCGGGACACTGGGCAGGTGAAGTAGAGTTGAGTAGGTCACATGTGACGTCAGTATATGAAGGGATAGTCCGAAATCGGTGTTTTCGGTGTTTTTAAAAGATAAGAAACATATTTTTGAATGTGGGCTCTGTTTTTGTGACGATAAGTGACACTGCAGTAGCGTAGCGAGGAGGGGGGGGGGGAAAGGGGAGGCGGGGGGGGGGGGGGGGGGGGGAAAAGGGGAGGCGGGGGGGGGGAGGTGAAGGGGGGGGGAGGGGGGACGTATGTTGGGGCGCCAAAATGGTTTGGAAAAATAAATTGAAAGGTTGATGGGGGTTCAAATCGAAAGTTTGAGTGGGGGGGGGAGGGGGTGCACATCAAAAGTTTGAGGGGGGGGGGTTAAAATCGAAAAGTTTGTCCCCGGGCGCCGGGAAGGCTCGCTATGCCTCTGAGTGACAGACGTGATGTTTTTTTATGGATGACCCCCGAAACCCACAGTTATCCAAGGGATGACGGGTATTCTAGTAGAATATAAAGAAAGGAACTATTTCATTCAATTTTTATTTAGATCTACGTACGCTAAGAAATGTATACAATACAACATTTTCGGCCTAAACTTAAAAAATTTACTTTATCTATTTGGATTCTAGATCTAGAGATTCTAGATCAGGGGTTCCCAACCCCGTGCCCGCGGGCGCAATGGCGCCCGCCGAACGATTCGTATGTGCCCGCCTCTCACTATTCGACAGAGACAGAATTTTTTTCATAAACATTATTGAAAGGTTGAAGGGGATGGAAATTGAAAGTTTGAGGGAGGGAGGGGGGTGCAAATTAAAAATTTGACGGGGGGGGGGGGGTGCAATCGAAAGTTTGAGGGGGGGGGGGTGCAAATCGAAAATTTGAGGGGGGGGGGGGGTGCAAATCAAATGTTTTGACCCCGGGTGGAAGGAGTTTGTCAATTTAAAATAGGTGGTGCCCGCCACCCTACCGATATTTTAGAATGTGCTCTAGAGTAAAAAAAGGTTGGGAACCCCTGTTCTAGATCTAGACTAGATAACTAGATATACGGAAAAACTAGACGTAGACGCGAAGATCTAGATTCTAGATTTAGATCTATCTCCTCTAGAATCTATTCCAATAACAAATTTCTATATTAAACTATTTCAGGCCTTAATTATTTTATAGAAATCTTTGTTGGTTTAGCTATGGAATTGGCTAATTTGGGATAAAATTTATAGGGTCTATTCGCATAAGTTAAGTACCTTTTTTTTTATTCTTCGTGAATCCTAAGGTGCATAAATAGCTGAGATGATAATTGATACCATGCGGGAGGTACGGGTTCGAGACACACCAAGGCAACCTTAATTTTTTTTTTCAATTTTTTTTAAATATGTGCATGATAAAGTTGCCTATCTGGACTTGGTGGGAAACGGGGCAGGTGAAGTAGAGTTCACCTATTTCTGTCTTTTCAGCTTATGAAGGGATAGTGTGATCAGACCCATGCTCAGCCGAAGTAGGTGTTTTTAAAAGTCAAAAACAACATAACTACCATTGGACAGCCGGGTTTTTAACGAAATCTTTTAAGTCTCTTAATTTTAAGTCTCTTAATCAGCGAGTGCATTTAATATGGTATTGTGTTCACTAATACTGTATATAATTTGATTTTAATTTTTCTAGAAGGTGTTGGTAGTCTATGTTATTTTAAACAAGTATAAACATAGACAGTACATGAAACAAAACTGTTTTTTTTTCATAATCTTAACAATGTTTCATTCTAATGCTCTTGATAGGAAAAGGAACATTTTTTTCAATTTCGTTCGGAGGTGAAAGGGTAAGAAACGGTAGAGATGCCTGAAGAAAATGTATATATCTACGGAAAGTGAGTAATGGAATGAATTGTAATTCAGCTTTTAATAAACCGGTAGTGATCTCCCCTAAACTTTCTCGAATATTCTTATATAAAACAACAGGGGATGGTAACTCAGGATATAGTTATGATTTTGAATCCATTTTAAATACTTAAACTTTTAAAAATAGAATAGAATCTCATAAAAAAAGAATTGCGCACCAAGATGTGTATAATAGTGCGGAATATTATTAGTACTTTATAAATTCACATGCGTTTTTTGAGAAATCGGAAATAGCGTAAATAAGTACTTCCGGTCAACAAAAATTACTCAAAATTTGACAGAAGGTAGAGATACAGATCTTTTACTTTTATTTGAAATTTTATTTATCTATCTGAAAAAGTACTCAAGTTATAGGCTTTTGAAAAAGTCAAAGTAGAAAAAGTACCACTTCCGGTTATTGGAAATCGCTCAAAAGTTGATACGGATCTACGATTTTGATAAAATAATTATATATAAAATTTCATCAACCTAGCTGTAACGGTACTCAAGTTATCGTGTTTACACACACACAGACAGACAGACAGACACACACACACACAGATATACGGACAAGATTGCAAAATTATGTTTTTCCGTATCAGTGAGGTGTAAAACGATTACATGACTTTCTCTATACTTCGTATATACGAGAAAGTAAAAAAAGTCAGTATCAAAAACTTAGGAAAAGGAACATTTTATTGAAGTTTCCGATAGTGACTTTTTTAAAAGCTGAATTACAATTCATTTCATTACTGCCTTTCCGTAGATATATACATTTTCTTCAGGCATCTTTACCGTTTCTTACCCTTTCACCTCCAAATTAATTTGAAAAAAGTAATTCATAAAAAAATAGAGAAAAACCGGTATCCGCTCCCCCCCCCCTTCCCTCAACGCACACACACCCCCACACCCTCCTCCAGACAGTTTTAAATGCCGCTCACCGGAGATAAATATGTAAAAGAAAAACCGAGTAGCCAATTTGTAAAGAAAAGAGAGCTAAAAGTCACCAGCATTGCCCGTGTAACGGGTACCGATGGCTAGTCACTAGTCTAATACATAAAGTTTAATTCTGTACGTTTGTAAACGAGGACTACTAAGAAATATTAGAATTTAATAGACCCCATTCTTATAGCGGTAAACGTCTAAAGTGATTATTGTCTAAATTTATTGAAGGTATTTCAAACACATTTCATTTTTAATAATTAAAATAATAATTTTCATCCTGTTTATTTAACAAAATAAAATCACCTTTTACACAAATTCTAATTATGTCTAAAAATTAGTTACATTTAGTCCTTTAGCACTCATTACGTCCCTTGATGAATTAGGAAAACACAATTACTTCCCTTTATAAAAACATTACATCGAGAGGAAAAAATTTAACTTTTATTACTTTGTTTTGGTGTTGGGGGAAAAAAATTACATAATTAGCGTGGATTGATCAAGTGAAACGTGGTAGGTATTTTAAATACTGCCTTTTATTTATTTTATACACTGAACGTACTGTTTTCTTCTTATTATTTTTAACCAAAGTCAGTTGAAGTAACAAAAGACATCTTTTTTTTAGGAACGGGAATTCCCGCAGGTTATTATTTGTGTCTTCTTTTTGCTCACTCGTTTTTGCTGTCCTTTTTTGCGCACGAAGGGGAGTTCTTTTTTGTCGGTCGCACCAAACATGCTGAACGTTGCCTTTTTTTTCGTCATCATAGTGCGTACCTTTTTTTTAAGCAGTCGTTTTTAACAGTGCATGTAGCAGTATTAAGTTTTACCACTGAAGAAACAATTGAATAAGAAAGGTTACCATAGTGTTTAAATGAATCAAATCCGGGCGTCCTTCGGCGCTCAGACTAGGTGCTATTTCGCGCCCTGGCTTTCTCGTGTTCGCTTTGGTGCCTACGTTTATTTAAGTGAGTGCAAAAGACTATAAATAAGTTGGGGTAGTATAGTCGTTTACTAAGCTGAAACAGGCGGTTCCGTCGGCGCCCCAGCATGGTACGATTTAGCGCCCCGGGGTAGACTGTGAACACTTTGCGTTTATGTTTGCGTTTGTGTTTTCTTTGTGTTTGGGTTGGGTTTGCTTTGTGGTTGGGTTTGCGTTTGGATTTGGTTTATTTTGGTTTGCTTTTTGTGTGTTTTGTTTTTGCTTAGTTGTAGTTAGGGTGGGCAATGCCAGATAAATGCTGATTACTAAACACACATGTCATGGTCCTTTACTGATAGGTTTTTCACAGAGGCCAGTTCAGGGCCTGGCCGGTACGGCTAGTAATCTATACATTGTGATTACACAGGGTATTGTAATTAACAAATAATGTTTTATTTCTAATTTTGTTGACAGGGTCAGATTTCATCTGAAGAGAAATTCTTTGTTCTACGTCATCAGTGTCTTGGCGCCAATGATCACCACCTCATCGATGACGTCATTCGTCTTTCTGATCCCACCGGATTCCGGGGAAAAAGTTTCTTTTTTGGTGACGGTATTCGTCTCCAACGCCGTCTTCTTCAACTTTGTGGGGTGTGTACTGGTCTAGAGTTACCTATCTTTATAGCGCAAAATTTAGCCATGTTGTTTTATTTAAATGATAATTGTTACATGAAACATAACCTCAACCTTATGTTGAACCTGAACACGAACTCCTTAAACCCCTAACCCTTATAACCCTGTCCCTAGCATTTATCCTAACCCTAACTTTTATCCTAATATATTAGGAATAAAGACACTTGCTCAAAAAAATGTAGGATTGTGGGCAGCTATTAATTACGAAGTGGTTGAATTAAGATTGTAGGCCTATACGTTTGATTATATTCGACAGTACAACCATGTCTAGAAGTATGACGCTAGCCAACATGCCCAGACTGACGCTGTTCCTGCTCATGGTGCTGGCCCAGAGTGTGGTGACCTTGATCCTGACCTTGTACGTCATGCACAGACACAAGGCCGAGCAGGAAGAAAAGTTCAGACGACAAATCGAGCAGACGGATGAACTCGACCAAAAGTCTGATCAAACTACGGCTGCTTCAGTGGAAGACATGAGTAAACATGAGAAAATGTTTGAACGCTTAACTCCAATTGATCATCGAAATGCTGAATTGAGTACCGACTCGTTTGTAAGAAGGATGAAGGTTTCAGTGTGCTCAATGATTGGGAAAAACAGAGGATCCGTTGAGCCTTTAGACAATGTAAAACCCATAAGAAAGAGACACAGTAAAGAATGCTGCAGAATACAGGCCAGACATTTAGACGTCATGTTTTTTGTTGCGTTTAATTTAATTAGTGCGCCAATTTACGTGATGTTTTTCCAGGTGTAAAGAACTTAAATTAACTTTAAGGAAGTGTTCGCATATATCTGAAGTATAAGGTATTTTTGTTTTTACGATGTTCCGCTTCACATCTTTACTTATTGTCACTTCAGAATTCGCCCCTTAAAAGATTGCTTTTTGTTTTTATGTAAACTTATTTTATTCTACTTTTATGATACCGTTTTACCCAATACGCGCATTGATTAAATTAATTACATGCATCAAGTTATTTTATAATTTATTAAAACTCTTTTTTAAAAAAGCGAATAAAACTTTTAAACTTCAGAATGAAATTATTTTGTTAAACGTAAGCGTGCAACTATTCTATAACTTCACCTCCATTTCGCCACATTTTGACTATCATTATAGCAATTAAGTTAATTCATAAATATTTATTTTTATTTGACGTCAATAAACAGATTTATATAATACTTTTAGTGTTCATTGTCTGTATGAAATAATTCATTAAAAAATAATTAAACGTACATTTTAGCTTGAAACATCCTTGTTTTTCCTTCTTTTTTTCTGTTGGGTTTTCCAAAAGCCGACCTAAAGAAGCCCTTCTAAAGAATCCCATCTAAAGAAGCCCATCTAAAGAAGCTCATCTAAAGAAGCCAATCTGAAGATGCCCATCTAAAGACGCCAATCTAAAGAAGCCCATCTAAAGAAACCAATCTAAAGAAGCCCATCTAAAGAAGCCCATCTAAAGAAGCCCATCTAAAGAAGCTCTTATAAAATTTACAAAGCTATGCCCACCTGAAGGTGTCTATCTAAAAATGCCACTCTGAAAACCTTAGTATTGTAAAAGAACATCTTAAAAGCAACCCATCTGCATAAGCCCATAAAAGGTTATTCTACAATATAATTTCTAAAACAGACCTTTTAAATAAAAACCTCGATAAAAGCGAGTTCAAAGAAGCCTCTACAGCTAACATCATCGTATTGTTTAGTCTGACCAGATATCGTATTTACAACTTCAAACCTTCTAATTAAACCAAACCCATTTAGATAGAGAACCAATCATATACTGCGCCTCGATCGTCACTGATTATGTGGGTACATGACTGTTAATTACCCGCATGTGTTTGTTTATGTCCCTTTCATCTTCATAAAGTTTGCTAAGCGGCAAGCGATTAATTACACTCATTTTAAAGAATGGTATTTACAAAACTCTTAAAGAAGGAACTTGTTTTAGAATTTGAACATACTCATCGTTAACTTTGATAAAAATTTATCAATCCTGCGATGCCATTGGATTCGTTATTTTAATTCCGTGAAGTAATTAAAGAATAAATTCCATTTCCATTTATGTTGTTTGTTTTAAACAATAAAAGCATAACTATAAAGAAACGCATTGACATTTAAAAATTGCGATTACTGTTTGATTTAATGAGATTTTATGATGATACATGTTATGATTATTTAATGGCCAAGCTTATTTTATCTCTGACATTCAGTTAAAACCTGAACAGATTACCAAGATTTTTCAGTTCGATTCACAGAACAAGTCATTTCGTCAGTGTTCTTCATCTTCTTCGATCTTAACTGATACAATTGTATTACTTGTTCACCTGTTTTGCGCAATATAGGTCGATGTCTTAGATTCCAGCCTGCTTTTCTTTCTGGATTTGCTTCCATAGCATTTGCTCATGCAATAAAGAACTACAACACAGCAGTTGTTGGATTTTGGAGCATTTCGTCAGTGTTTAATATCTCTGAAACTAAAGTTCCTATAAAGTTTGTTATTTTTAACGAATGCTTTATAAAGTTATATCCGTTCAACCGTGTGATCTATATATTTTGTGATCAAATTACCGAGGTAGATTTATCAATTAAAAAAAAAACAACATCAAAAACATCAATTTCAATTTATTCAGTTTATTCAATAACGGTAACGATACCAAGAACGGAAGCCTTTTTTCATATAAAGTTTTTTTTTCAATCACTTGCATTTATCAAATTTTTACCATCGTTTTTACCGAAATGTGCTGTTTATATTAGGAAATAGATGAAACGGCGTGGTAGGATAATAAAACACATACTCCGTTCCTGAGTCCACCCAGCTGTATTTGGGTACCCGACCCACGTTAGGAAAAGTAAAGGAAGCTGGACATCGTGCTGACAACACTATCGTTTCAAATGATAAGGTCACAGAAACAAATTTAAATTATAATTTTTCTGTACACAAATATTTTACTTTAATCCAAACTTCAACATTCTTACATTGGTTAGTTGAGATTCTGTCCCTGTTTAAAAACTTTTCCTTATCGCTGTTCTCATTTATTATAACAGCTGTTATCTGACCTCTACTCACGTGATTTTTGTGGGTCATCTAGTCAGATTTATTCTGTAATCGATACTTGTCTGTACGGTAAACATGCCACCTTCATTCAAACATTACTAGTCGTTAACATTGTGGCCATTTTGCGGTCATTGTGTGACTAGTGCATGGTCATTAATTGTCTTAGTCTTCAAGGATCAAAAGACGGTAAGTTGAGTATATTTTTAATGTTCTTTATTAATACAATTTTGTGTGTAATTACAGTGAGTTTGAATCAAACATATTACCCTGGTTTATAAAAAAAAACATATTTTAAAAATATTAAAAATAAATATTATAATTATGTATGTAAGTATATATTTTCAGTTGAAGCTAACAATATAATGCGTTGAATATTTCTTTTATTTCCTAATTAAATCTTTTATCAATACATGTTTTGTATATTATCATACAAGGTGTAAATTATTTAAAATGTGTAGGCTTTTTTTGGAAAATTTACAATTACAAAGGGGGTAGGTTTGAGCCATAGTATTAATTTTTAGTGTTATATGATATAAGGGTGTAATATATTGACATTTTTTAAAGTAACAAACTGAGTAGGGATGGGAAACGTATCTTATTTTAGTGTAATATAAATTAAATTAAGGCTTAGTAATAAATAATATAGAGTATGTAAGCAATGTTCTAATTCAGTGTAATATAATTAGTGTATAAACACGCCCTAAACAGTATAAGCCCAACTACAAATGTTTACAATTGTTTTTCTAAGTCACAAGCAGAGAAAACCATGAACTTAACAGTGACCTTGATATTTTTGACCTTCTGGCAACCTGCACGTGGAAAGCTTGACGAGCCAATGGATGCGTGGCGCGAGGCGAAAGCGAGGCTGAAAACCACCATTTTAAACCACAGGGCCGTGAAGGCTAATCTTTGCCCGTCCAATAACACGTTAAACTTGGGAGTCAATGTCTACACCTACGCTGTAAGTTAGTTGTGAAATATTTCGTGAGGTTTTAATTATTAGTAGGATTTTACTTTAAGAACGACTTTGAAACAGAGTTTCTTCCAGGCATCTCTTCGTTCGCCCCCCCCCCGAAATAATTCGACCGCCCCCCGAACGAAATTAAATTTATATAATTTATATAGAAAATATTTACTTTTAACAGTGTCCGCTCCCCCCCCCCACCCCCGAAGAAAGTCTACCGCCCCCCGAAATTTCAAGTGCCCCCCCCCCCGGAGAAAAAAGTCTGGAAGAAACACTGCTTTGAAATATTCAAGTTATTATTTGTTTGATTAATACATTAATAATTAGGAAACTTTATATCGATGCTGGAAAGAATAAACATTTATGTCTATATATAAAAGTAAACCTGATGGGCTATGGGGCATGTCAGGTGGTGATTTCCTGTTTCTGTGATCTCATTATCTGAAGATATAATTTGGAATGGCGCCTTGTCTTTCTCTGGGACTCTGGGACGTTCTAAGTTGAACCCGGATTTGAACTCGAGACAATCAGGTTGGCAGTCTAACGCTCTACTTCATGTGCCCCATATGTTTTGGTAACGAACGGGAAAAGATGATCATGAAACATGGAGGGGGGTGGGAGGGAGAGTAAAAATTCGGGAGCGGAGGAATTGCTTTGACTTATTATGTCTAGCTTCAAACAAACGTTCATTAAACTGATTATGCCTGTATGATGAAAGTAGGGATTGCTTTTGACAGAGAAAAAGAGAGAGTGAGAAAAGGGGAGAGAGAAAAGGAGAGAGAGAATGTGTGTGTGTGGGGGGGGGGGTGGAGACATAAAAAAAAATTAAGTAATGCTAATTTAGTATTTTTTGCACTTTTCAAATCCTACAAAGTGTTAGACCAATTACCAGTTCGGTTACTTTGCATTAAAACTAAACTAGATCAATCTGAGTTTAGGAATTCAAGTTTTATTATTATTTTCCAGGTTTTATTCGGAAATGAAGTGGAACAATCCTTCACAACAATGAATTCCGTCGTTTTTAAGTGGACAGACCCAGATTTAGCTTGGGAACTTTCGACCTATGAAAACATTACGTCGGTAAATTTAAAATACGATGAGTAAGTTATTATTTTTTTGTAGCGTTCACGTCACATTGAAAATCTATAATAATAGTTTCGCTGTCTGTGTATGTATCTATCTATCTGACAAGAACGCTCTGTCTGACAAGAACGCTCTAGAGAAAACATAAGAAAAAATTCTATCTGACAAGAACGCTCTAGAGAAAACACAAGCAATTTAAAAACTCTCACAGTGAAACGAAAGACGAAGTATGACGTCGACACATTTAGCATAGAGTAGAAAATAATCTCAAACCCAGAGAGTGCTCACAGTTATTATGAATGGGACGGTAGACATGTTTTTTGGGGGGTGGGGGTGGGGGGTGGGGGTGGGGGGGGTGGTGTGTTTTGGGGGGGGGGGTGGGGGTGGGGGTGGTGTGTGGGGGGGTGGGTTGGTTTTAGTTTAGAGAAAAGAGACAGCACTATCAACCTAGCGCCCGGTGTATCCTTCCTCAACGGGCCATTTTTCTCGTAGATTTAAAATAATCTTAAAAGAAGATACTTTAAGTCGAATTATAAACTTAACAAAGTGTGTATAGGTTTGTTAAGTAAAACCCCGAAATTCCGCATCAGAGCATCATTTCATTCGTATTCAAGTTTTAAATAATTATTTTCCACTTTATAAAACTTTGACATTACCAAGATGAACGGAACGATGCGCAAAGGGAACTGCGCAACGCAACTGAAAGCTGCTCACAAAAAGTTTGCAAGGGCATTTTTGTTTTCTTAAATCGAGCATTGTAAAGATTAGCATAGAATGACCAAGTGCACATTGTTACAAATCAAACATATTTTTAACACAAAATATGACAAAATTAAAGTGTATTAATATAATTAAATTGTATTTGCTCATTTTTCTACTTGCGCACTTTTCCCATTGCGCACTTTTTCGTTTGCGCATTTTTCTAAAAACCATTACCAGTGATATGTAACCTCCCCTAGCCTGTGGCATCCAAGTTTTGGTGTGATAAACTCGGCCGACGAGAACCTGATGCTGATTCGACCTGCACAAGATCAGCTGACATTGAGCCACACAGGTACCGTCATGCTCCACTCACCTGTGATCCTGAAAACTACCTGCTCCGTGGATCTCAAGTACTACCCTTTTGACCTCCAGGCGGGTGAAGTATCATAATTGTCTAGTTAGTTTGTGGGATAATAGAATTGTGTAGTTGGTTTGTGGAATATTAGAATGGTTTAGTTAGTTTGTGAAATATTAGAATCATCTAGTTAGTTTTTGAACTATCAAAACAGTCTAGTTAGTTTATGAGATATCAGAATGGACTAGTTTGTTGTAGAGTGTAGAAGTAAAAACGGTACGATTAAAAGAAAAGAGAATAAAGATACCTTTAATGAGGCAGATGAAGTAGAGTTCACCTGTTTTTGTGACCTCGACATGTGAAATGATGGTGTGGTCAGTTCCATGCCCAGCTGTCTTAACGTTCCCAAATAGAGGTGGGTGGGATCTGTATCCAACTTCCCCTTTTTGTGTGAACAAAATTGATTCACAAAAGACATATTAAAAATAAAACAACCAAGCACGAAACAAATATTCTAATTTAACCCATATGTCACTGTAAAACTAATACATATGCTCCCCAACACACCTCAACGAATTAAAAAAAATTATTCAGAATTTCTCACACCAGAATTCTTTATTCATTCTACTTCTATAATACAATTTTTTTCTTTCTAGACTTGTGATATAATTATTGTACCCTTCTTTGACGAGTGTTCGTTCACAATAACCAAATCACACACGGGCGAGATGCCGAATCCATTCGATCTAGACGGGGAGTGGAAGATCGATTCTAGATCCACCACGATTGGAGTATACCTGAATAACAGTCAGACCAACATCCCGTCGATTAAGTAGGTATTTTGGTTTTTGATCTTATGAGAAATAATCCCATTATATACTAGTTATGTCTAAAATCGGTATCTGAAGTCACAATGACCGTAAAGGAAGTCGCTGAAGAATGGTCTAGCGGCTAGCCGAAACATAGGGAAAAGATCTTAACCTGAACTTAACATAAGCAATGGCGTCGCGAGGCAAGGCATACGGACCGCACCGGGTTACACCATTTATATTGAAGAAAATTTTTTTCTCCAGTTCAATTAGTGATTAATTATATTTAAAAAGCCTTTTTAAGTACACATTTAAGATCAAGATCGGGGGAGGGGGGGGGGGGAAGGTGAAGACACCATGAAGTAGTCCTGCCAACTACAGAGAATGCAATGCTACATCCAGCTGTTTTAATAACCTAGTATAAGCAAACAACTTTACTATTAAATGTGCAAGCTTAAAAGCTATCAATCGGAGGAGAGGGGGATGACACCAACGGCAGAATTTACAAAGGAGAAAAAGGTTTTGTTGAGCATTTTCACTATAATGTTCGCACAAAGTGGCACCAAAGTGGCTCGCGAGCCGTAGGTTGTCGACACCTGTTGTAGTTGCATGTAGAATAAAAAATTAAATTCAAACAGTAAAATTAAATAATTTCAAATGGATGGAAAAACTTATGTGATCGCAGAAGCAGTATTTTATTTAAATTTTTAAAACTAATACATTTACTTTTTTACGTTTTGTAAAGCTTTTTATATTTAAATTAGTATCGAATAATAGTGTTGTGATTCTAAAAATATAAAGTATATTCAAATGTTAAATTAAATTATTAAAAATGTATGTTGTATATATAACAAATTATTAAAGTAATTTTACTTTACTATAACAAACGTATCATGATTTGTTAATATTCTTTTGGAAATTAGTTAAAGGTTGTTCCCCCTTAACACCTTTTTATGTCCCTTAGGCACAGTCATGTTATAATTCTATTTGGAAACCATTGTTACGCTTACATCAATCACTTTACCGTAGCAAAATAGATCTATACTTAAAAAGGTTATCTACGATACCAACATTAGAGTAAAATTGCAGGAAATTATTCACACAAGACTGTTCGACGTAGTCTGTCAAGCACATTTTAAAATAAGAAATACTGTCTTCTTATTTATGTGAATCTGTTGCAAGTTCGAGCTTCTGTTTGTCAATTTTGCCCACACAGTACTCATGAAAAATTTAAAGCTAAAAAATATTAGAATCAAAATATTTTATAAAAACAAACCTTGTAAAGTTTGCAATTGCAGGGAACTTGATAATATTTTTGTTCGTTTTGGTGCTACATTTCAGTTATTAATATCGACCCGACATTTTTAACTGAGGTTACACTTTGGTAAAAAAACAAACAAGTAAGATTGGCTTTATATTCTAACTATAGAAACACATGGATAGCATTTATATAAATCCCACTTTGTACTCGAAACTTTGTCGGTAAATATGTTTTATAAAAATTATACTTTTGAACACAAGATTTGTAAAATAATTAAAGGAGATTTTGAGAGATTTCCCTACAGACGATAGTTATGAAATTCTGCTTTTAACTCTCAACAGACGGTAGACTTGACTATTGGACATTTTTATCCAATGACTTTGACGATAGAAAAATAAAGATGAAAAGGTTTTTGTTAAGCACAATATTATTTTATATAAAAATAATCGACCAATTAATTAAAATCAACCAAACATTTTATTAATTCTAAACGTACGATATATTTTTCGTACTAAATTAAATATATTCTTGCGATCAGCCAGGCGTCGCCATCTTGTTGAATTTGCATCCATTCTCAGTCAGATTTAATGGAAAAGGAATTCCGAACAGAAAAAACATTTAGAAGTTAAAAGTTTGAGTAAATTGGAATTGATCAATTGATGAAGTAAATATGAATAAATCTTTAGATTCAATAGGTCTACATGTGAAACATTTTCCTGCGTATAAGACGACACCCTAAAGTTTGATATGATTTCCTGGATTTCAATAGTCTTATACAGGGAAAATACGCTAATTTAATTAAGCGATTCAGTAAATAGTGCAATAAAAGAAAAGCGATCAATATGTTTTTTGAAAATGCTTATGTTTATATATTTTATTCTTAAATTTAAAAAAAATCCTTCAAAATTGTTTAAAATTATTTTTATAAAAAATATCATTAAACAGGGTCAGATTACAATTGAGAAGAAGTTCTTTGTTCTACGTCGTCAGCGTCTTGGCGCCAATGCTTGTCACGTCATCAATGACGTCATTCGTCTTCCTGATCCCACCGGATTCCGGAGAAAAAGTTTCTTTTTTGGTGACGGTATTCGTCTCGAACGCCGTCTTCTTCAACTTCGTGGGGTGGGTACTGGACTAGAGTTAAGTAGCCTTAAAAAGTGTCATATCTAGTATTGTTTGGGGTGGCAATATACTATTTTATGTATTAAACTGGGAAACTAGTATGAAAAACCAGATAGACTGGATGACTACATATATATATATATATATATATATATATATATATATATATATATATATATATATATATATATATATATATATATATATATATATATTGCTTCCTCAAAACCATTCTTTTTTAACTTTTTATCTTCCGTTTTTTCTAGTTGTTTTACGTTTATGTTTTAAATCCACCAAGGCGTTAAAAAACCAAAAAAAAAAAAAGTAATAAAAAAACATTTCTCTTACCATTATTTCCAAGCAATTCCTATTTGCCAAGTGCTTTCTTTATGAGTGTTAAAGAAAACAAAACTTTAGATCCTTGTGAATATCTTTCAAGTACTTAAGTTACAACAGTCTGGTTCTGGGGAAGCGATATACCGTAATAGGGCTGGTAAGTAGGTCACCAACCAGTTCTATGGCTCATGCAGGTTTTATTGAGCCGTAGAACTGGTTGGTGACCTACTTACCAGCCCTATTCTCTCTATATAATAAAGCTTAAAAAATTGTATCTTTTTAGAGATTGGCTCATGATGTGTTGTATGTTACAGGACCACCATGTCTAGGAGTATGAACCTGGACAACATGCCCAGACTGACCCTGTTTCTGTTAAACGTCTTGGGTCAGAGCGTGGTGACCCTAGCGCTGACCTTATACGTCATGCATAAATACAACAAGGAGAAGAAGGAAGAAAATAAACAGGCAAAACTCATCAGAACTAATGCACACGTAATGGATTCAAGTCTTGAACGTCCCGAATCTAGTGAGAAAAACACCACAACACAGTCTGAGAAAAGCACACATATTTTTGCCTCTGGTGGCGATATACCGCTAAACTCACAGCTAAATAATGATTGTACATTTAACAATGTTAATAAGCATGCTGTAGGTAAACGAATAAGGAAAAACGAAAAACCTCTGGAGATAAAAGACACTATCGGAGATTCTACAAAGGGCAATGGGGGCTTCAATGTTCGCGCGAAACATTTGGATATTATATTCTTTGTTGGCTTTCATGTACTTAGTGTGCCGTTTTATATTACGTTTTTTCTTGCCTGAGCTCATGAAAAGCCGCACATTCTTTGCCTCTCCTTTCACTGTCCTTCTCAAAAATTATTTCGGTCGGCCAACTTTTCTTTTTCTCTGGCAGTGCTTCTTTCAGACTTTTTTTTACCGGAGGAGGGTGGGTGGTGGACATGATATTTTCAGGGGGTGGGGTCGGACTAAATTTTCCTGGGAGGGGGAAGGCGGACACTGGTAAAAGTAAATATTTTCTATATAAATTACCTTTCGTTCGGGGACAGGGGAGGGGTAGAGAGATGCCCGTAAGAATTTCTGATCCCGAGGGGTTCAATTTTAACGCTCGCTTTGTGACCTCGTCTCTTCTTAAGGCGTGTCTCATCCACCCAATTAAAGTCTCTGTCTATCAGCTGTTGTTTTCTGATTTACTACAAGTCGCCGATGAACATTTTGTATAGCTATTTTATCTTTAGGATTCGTTGTAGGCATCTCTAAGTGAATATAATTTTATTTGACATTGTAACCTTACAGTTCTTTAAGCAAAAAAAAAAGAGCGGTTATTCCTTAACATTTGTGTTTTAAGCTCTTGTTCTGGAATGACAGGGCTGTGCAATTCTATATCGAGCGGAGAGAGGTAGACCTGAGCATAAGCTTATTGAGAGAAAATTTGCTTTTCCATTATGACTAAATCATTAAATGCACATAAATCAGCAACAAGTTCCCCATTTACCCGTTACAAGTTCCCGTGCTAGATTTTCTATTCACACGTCATACATCTGTTACT